CTTAAGATAGCTTTTAATAAATTTATTTTGGCACCCTATATTAAGGTTCGCTGTTTTCTTGCCCCCCGAGGCCAAGATACAGACCAAACATGGGCAAGACTCAAGGATGCACAAGTGAAACCAAACGAGGAAAAGCCTCCAACCAGGGTGGCCCTAGCTCCCAATTATTGAGATCACATGCAATAGCCTCAAACTCGGGGCTTACGCAAACCTGGCCACCTTGGACAGCCATCAAAGGGCATCCTGGCGGCCACTTCAGTTGGAGAGACTCAAGGTATATCTTGACAGAATGCCTTGACTTGATACGTGGATTCGTACACAAAAAGTCTCGCAGATCGGGCCAAGGGATGTAATCGATGCTCACAGGATGAGGATATGTATTCTGAACCTCGGTAGGAAGCAGCCACGGCGGTACATCCTTGAGAGTCATAGGATCAGGATGTAAGCGCCACTACGCGAAGGATTAGTATGCAGGAGAGAATAAGGCAAAGATGAACTCACCCTCATGAGACGATAGGCAAAGAAATACACCCCGAATAAAGTCTCCACGCTAGCCATCTCAAAACCCTTAAGGAACGAGGTCAGAAAACATGTGACTGCATTGTCCCCGTAAGAGTGAAGCGTCATGTTGGGCAGCTCAGGGTTCCTCGGCAGGGACCTAGCGTGGAGCGGATCCTTGGGAAAAGCAGCATGGGTCTCGTAGAGGATCGCGAAACTCCGATACTCGAGACAATCGGCCTGTGAGTGATGCTGCACTCCGCATCGGCAATCGACGTGCGACGGCGTGGGGAATAAACTCGACATTACCTCCGGGACCTCGGCAGGCGGGATATCGTGGTCTGCCGCACATGGAGCACCACCACCACCCGTCGTCGGCGCAGCAGCTCTTCGGCCTGCGGGGAAGTCCGGGGTCTCAACGCTCGTGTCCATCTCATAAGCCTCGCCAGGGGGTTTCTGCGAAGATCTCTGCTGCAGAGCCACGAGATCAGCGCTCAGCTGCGGGAGCGTCCGGAGCTGCGCGGAAACGGTGTCGAGGTTCTTTCTGATCTGTGCAATGTCTGCTTCCATGCGCTCCATGCGCTGCTTGTGCTCCTGCCTGTTCTCCCTGTGCTTGACGCGATCTGCCAGTCGCTTCTGGCTCATCTGAGCCTCTGTGCGCACCCGTCGCTTGGACGAGCCGCTGGGTGGAGACGCGGACATGGAGATGAGAGAGAGGTGGCTGAAATAGGGAGGTGGTATGGAAAAATGTTATATAGTCTGGCTGTCAATATCTCAAAGAGGATATCCACTGTTTTTGAACGAGGGTTTTTGGCGATGCCTTGCTTGGGAGTGAGGAAAAGCTCAACGGTGAAGAAAAGAAAGAAAGAAAAGGGGAGACGCGTCCGACGTCGACCAGTTAAATAGACTTGAAACGTGGTTACGAAGAACCCCCGTGTCGTTGGTTGACTTGACACTGAAAGATGAGAGTGTCAGCATTGCACACTAGGAGAATATGTCAGGTGTACATTACATTACATACACGCACGTGTAGAGAGTAAGGTAAGTTAGAAAAGGGTAAACGGGTTGGCGAGCGTTGGAATTTCTCTGCCTTGGGTGTGCGAGTTTGGCTGCGACGGGAGGCGAAACGCGGGGTAAAGCGCCGAGATGAGCACCGGATTATTCCCTGTTGGGTCCTAGCGGCGCAGGGGTTGCTAAGTCTGTTGGGGAGGAATTGTTGGCGTGATTGGCTGGGACGTTGTGTATCATCATCAGGAACTTGATCTTGACAGTTGACGGGTGGTTTAAGCATAGATTGGGTTTGTCGGGTATCTAGGGGTCATTATGTAGGTTTTCTCGCTTTGGGGAATTTAACCGGTTGGAAGGGAGTGGTGCGTTGAAGAAGAGGGTGAGGGGCTAACCCAACAAAGTAGAGATGATCTTGCATACCCTGGAGCTGCATGAGACTGCGTGGTCCTGAAGGATAAGGCATGTGATAAAGTCTACAGCGAGTTCTTGTATCATTTACTCGTGACTATGATAATCTCATGAGAAAGAACAACCATTTTGCAGTTATCTATCTAAACTTGAGTATTGTAGGCTTGAACTGATAAGAAACAGAAACGAAGCCAAGCGAGTATATCACTTCTATATCCAAGAGGACAACACTAAGTTTAGAACTAGTCCCGTAGTTGGAGACTATTTCAAGTTATGAACTTAATCCCTCAACTCTCATTCGTCAGTGGGGGCTGACCATGCCTTCTACCCATAAATGAGAATACTACCCAAAGATTAGTAAGGTTCCTGCGTTCTATCTGCTGATTTAAGCTCCCAGTCACAAGTCTTGACTGCAAATAACACATCTAGATCATCATAGACGCTCTACCATAATGAATAACCAATTGTATAGCCGGTAGATCAAAGAAGTCCATGATGTAAGAAGGCCGGTATGATCAGCAGATTGGCCTCTTCGACAGAACTTGCCAAGCCACTGTTCATGACCATAGTGGCAATTCTCTTCAAGCAGGCGTTCTCATACACCCCTTCGCTTGGTATCTTGGATAAAGTCTCTGTGGACCCCAGAACTTGCTTCACCTGAGAAGCTATAGCAAGCATAAATATCGAAAAGATCTCCTGCGCCCACATCACTGGCAGACTAACCCTATAATTGCCCCGGACAACAAGCTCAACTATATTCTGCGAACTTTCCGCTTCAGGCACGGAAACGTTTCTTTCTCATTAGCGGATATATATGACGCGGTTTACGATTCACATACTTTGATAATGAAGATAAAAACATTCCAAGACATAGAGAATGGCCGCGAGGTCTCCAGCTCTGTCGATAGGTATCATTAGGATACTCGTCCTGCCTATCCAAAACAAAAACACTGAGCTCAGCTTGAACCGCAGGATGCTTGAGCCATTTCTTAAACTGGCCAATCATTTCATCGGCTTTCGTGGTTGTACTGCAACCGATGACGCGCCACGGGATATGCGTAGACCTGTTCTGCCATGTATGAGGATTCGGAGATAGCATAGAATATAAGCATATCGACAGGACAGCTTCGAGATATTGAGCGTCAGCCAGTATCCAATGAGGTGGCATGTCGGGACTGATCAGGTCTCGTCTGGTTTTAGCGCGGCTTGTGAGATGGAACTCGAGCTGTTCTGTCAACACATCTGTCAAGGTATCGGGTGAGAATCGTCCTGACGCAACGTTGAAACTCCATGTTAGGCTGATGGGAATAATCCCGCCGGAGACACCTTGATCATCTTCTCCAGATTGACCAGGTAAAATATTGAGGTTCTTCCACGTTACTGTGCCAGGCTCGCTGAGGAAGTCCATTATCTTCTCAATAAGACTTTTTAGGTTGTTAGAGACTGTGGTGATATTTTCATGCACCATAGAAGCAGGAAATTGTGCTTTCATCATGTTGAATGCTCCAAGTACTTGGTGGTTTGAAGCGAGGTTAGTGCTCAAGTGTCCGGTCTTTTCAATCTGCAGCGTAGTTTCCAAGCGATTGCATATCGGTATATAAGGTTTTAGTGAGAGACCGGACGAGATATTCGGTGATGTGGCATCGATCGCAGACGATATAAGCTCCCATACACGTCCAGATGCTTGCCTATCAGGGTTATAGTCGTGGCACTTATCATTACCCACCAGAAAGAGAGTTAACCAAGCCAGCTCATGACCCTCTGACGTTGCTGGAGAGGGTATGAGATTAGGTTCGCCTGCGAGGCCTCGCCTTACCCAAGCTCTAATTCCAGTGATGACGAGTGTAATTCCTAGTTGAAGCACAGTGGCAGACCAATGGAGAGCCCGGAAACCGACGAACTGTACGATGTATCCTGTTACCGCCAACAGAGAAGAGCAGTACGTCAAAAGTCTGATAATGTTAGAGTCTAAAACGAGCAGATGCGTCGGATAGACTCACACGTAACCCTTCGTATTATGTCCGATGCGAGAGATCTTGATAGTACTCTTGGAGTTGAAGATGGCGCAGGATGGAAAGTGTTGTTCTCCGACAGTTCGGCCGCGCTGGTAGCAGAATATCCTCGCATCCTTTCCAGCGTTATCGTTTGAAACTTGAAGCTCAATCTCTTCTGTTACACCCTCAATAACATGCCCGCACATCATTATCCCCATTATCAAGCATACAGTGCCAACCGAGAAACACGGGTATCCATATGACTGAACTGTACTGCCGCCGTTTTCCCAGTGCCAGAAAAATGTCGCAAGCGCCGGGAACACGAGAGCAAAAAGCTGGAGTAAAACACTGAGTGCTGCCCAACCCCACAGCTCATATAGATGTGCTGTAGCATTAGGTACGTTCAGAGCCAGATTTGGTGCGGCGTTGGAAAGGACTCGCAGCTCCTCAGCATCTAGGTGGCAGTCCTTGTTGAATATTAGGAGCTCATCTTCAACTGCCGCTTGGATATCGTACACTGCTCCGTCCTTTGTTGCGATCAGTGTTTTGAGTTCCTCAGAGTCTCCAATCAATCGAACAATTTGTTGTCCATTCCACATCTCACATACGTTTTCGGAAGTAGATGAAAGTAGTTCCTGTTCTGCAACTGATTGGCTCTCCCGTGCCCTGGGTTATATAAGCTCTTATCCAGGTCTGGATTATGGCTGCATACCTCCCAATCAGCGCTCTTAGCCTCTTATCCCCACCAACTCTGATAGCACTGACAACAATCGTGATAACACCCAGGGGTCCCATAGCAAGCAGGATATTATCAGCCCATCCCATACTCATGCTAAGGAATTGTTTTGTGACCTGCTCACCGAATAGAGTGAGCAGCGGCGCAAGGTCGCTGAAAAGGTTGTTGGAAAAGTCATCGCCTTCGAATTCGGACATTTTGATATGGTTAGTGCAGAAAGAGAATAAAGTCTCACTCTCACTTTACATGTTCAGAAGTCGGTGGACATTTGAGTCATATAATCGAGTTCAGTCTGCAGGGTTTATAAGAGGGGAATATGCAGCTGAGGCTGATGCATGCAGGAATGAAGCAACTTCCAGCCAATGCCATGGCGAGAAGAGGATGCAGGATGCATGTTAAGCGCTTAAAGTGAGGGAACTTTTGCCGCAGCAATGACACAGTATTTCACAATACACAAGCATGTAAATCTACGACTCGGAAACCAGATGGAATGATCGACAAGTCCTTCAGAACTCGATTTACTCAAAAATAGTAAGAACCTCGGAAGATCTACCATGAAAACTTCTGTCCAGTCGCCTCCTCAGAGAAATCCCACAGTTTCTTAGCCTCACTGCTCGAAACAGCCAACGGCTTCGCTTCAGCACAGATCTGACAATCAGCAAGATACGCTCCGTAATTCTCTGTNNCAACAGCCTCCAACGTCTCTTTGGGGAAGTTTCTTCCCAGTTCAGTCGTCATGATGACACCAGGGTGAGCAGCAAGCGTGAGAATGCCGTGTTTTTCAAAGAGACGCTTGTTAGCCTCGATGCCGAAAAGGACGTTGGCGACTTTGCTGCGGTTGTATCCATCGAGGGGAACGTAAGCAGTTTCTTCGCTGTTTTCGTATCCCCAGAGTTTGAAGAACTCGTAGTTTGGCTGCTCTTCCTGGGGAAGGTCTTTGTTCTTTTTGTCAAAGTTCATGTCGCTCCAGCGCATATTTGATACCATAGGTGAGGCGGAAGTGACATTGACGATACGAACAGAACCATTTGGCTTGTTTTCGGATGCTTTGATGAGCTTGGGCATTAAGAGACAGCTTAGAAGCCAATGGCCGATGTGGTTGGTCGCCAGATGCATTTCGATACCATCCTTGGACAGAGTACGCTCTTGGATGGCCATGACACCGGCGCTGTTGATGATCAAATCAATAGTAGGAATATCGGACCAAGAGAGAACCTCTTTAGCTGCGTTGCGCACGGATTCCTGACTGGAGAGGTCGACCTCCAAGAACCGGTAGTCTACACCAGGGAACTTGGTCTTGAGTTCATCGATGCTCTCCTTTGCCTTGGAAGGACTGCGGCCGGCGAGGATGATATGAGCTGGAGACTGGGTGGACTTGAGATGGTAAGCATGAGAACTTAATCCAGGAGGGGGAGACTTACAAAAGCGTCTGCGGTTGCAAATCCAATGCCTCCACGGTTGACTCCAGTAATGAGGATAGTTTTGTCACGGATACCGTCGGCAAATGCTTTCGCAACCTCAACGGCTTCGGTGTTAGCTCCAAAGTCTGAGTTTGTGGTTGATGCCATGGTGATGAATGAGAGCGGATCTTGGAATGTTGAAGTAATGATGTGAGTATGCTGTAAATGTCGTGGAGATGACTGATGTCTGTATTGACTATTGTCTGAGGGCGGCCACCCTCTCTATATACACTTGGACAGCCCTTGATAGAGATTCAGGATATTCGCAAACCATTGAAGCCTTGTTCTCAAATCATCCAATACAAGACTTGCTACCCGATTTGGAAGCCACCTCAAGACGTCGGCTGGAGATCCTGGCGCCACTATAACCTGACTTGAGCCAATGGGAGACTTGCTACCATATTTGGTTAGAAGGTCCTCGACATAGTTCAGAGACCTCATTGGCTGATTGTCTTTGCCTGAAGTGAAACTTGAACGGAGTTAACGGATATCCTTCTTTCATTAGATCTTTAACTCCATGAACTGATTACACGTCCGAGAAGTGGACTTGATCCCAAATCTCCCGACTTGGCTTGTCATGGATTCCATCCATCCACGGAAATCTTGCTAAACAATCCCTGACTTGTTCCCAACTCACGATGCCAAGCAACTTCGCTTGCTCCTGAAGTCTCTCAACAAACCACTCGCGGCCATCCCTAGCCGGAACTGAAATTCCTCCCAAAATTAGAAGCCAGAACTTGAACTCATCTTCATCTTCATTCGAGTTGGATGTAACGGCTTCCTTGACAAGAGTCTCGATAAGTCCTCGTCTAGCTATACGATCCTGCGTATTATTAAAGTAGACCGACATCATAAAAAGAGATAACCCGATATGATAAGCAGACTGAATATCCTGCATGGACCTTGATTCGCCAATGGTTCGAAATTGGAGCAGGCGATAGCAGATGGACACCAAGACTTCTTGAAATTCAAGCAGATCGAGAGGCTTCTCATCTGCGTGTTTGTTGAGCAGTCTGCACAATCCCATGGTGTCAGAAAATGCTTCTTGGAGGATTGGGTCAAGTCGACTTGAGTATGCAGCCGGCCCTTGCTGCAAAGTGAATCCCTTGTATGCCAAGCTGCGCTTTACGTGACATATATGATCTCGATGGAATAATGGGTTTCCGCCTTGTTGCATAGCGAAGAGAATATCGGTTCTTCAAACATTAGCACTGACCCTTCAAAATCAAACATTATCTACTCACCGACAAACCTTGACAGCAACGACACTATCTTCCATATTTTCCAGCCCACCACGAAGGTCCACTATCTTCTCTAAACCTGCCATATGTGTCTCAGCAGCCGCGTAATGTTCTGCTGCCTGTTCTTGATTGATAAGAGCCATGACGATCGAGATGGTATGATCGGATAGCGCTTCTTTGCTATTTAATCTCACCTTGAGCTGATCAAGAGTCTGAGATATACAGCTTAGCGAGTTGGTGCAGTTGTAACCTATGCCTAGATATATCTCGTTTGACGCTTGGATAAGCGCCAGGGAGCAGTCGTAAGCTTCGAATCATTAGCTAGTGCAGCATTTCTAGGGTCGTATTACTTGCATGCTTTGTCGTGAAACATGATCTCGAGCCATTTGACCTTGTCCTCCTCAACGGAGAAGCCCAGCTGAACTGGATAGACGTGTCCGACTGTCACATTGAAGACTAGATTATCAGCACCACACGCCAACCTCGAGGGGCATAACTCACAGTCATCTATCGCTTTCCCAGCAACTTTCGTGACTGGTACAGGAAACGGGAAGCTGAAGAATTGTGTCGCGAGCGGTCTGGGAATTCTTTCCATTGGCCGATACTGAACGACCTGGTTCGTCCGTGATGGTCGATGAAATGTTTTGCCTGCATTTTTGCCCTTCATTACATGTCGTCGCATGAGCTTTTTCGAAGTTTTATCGGCGTTTAAGCCGTTCACGAAGAAGAAGTTTTGATCCATTTGATCAGTTGGTGGTTGCAGGAGTGAGATTTGATGATGTCAACGTAAGCAAACTCCGCTTCAGTATTGGCGCAGGATATGCCTGTTGAATACAACGAGGATGAACAACCTGGAATTACAATATCATTAGCATATAAAAATATAGGCACCTACAAGTTCGAGACGTAGCAATGTCGCAATCATTCTTAGACCAATTCAGCTCATAATTCGTCTTGTCATTTTATCTACTCTACATAAACTCGCTCATCTCTCATAATACAGACTTTTACAAGTTATACATCCTAAACAGAAACAGATCCACAAGGACCGCCAGCATGGCTGTGTCCGCTAGATCGCTTCAGAACAGAAGCAACCTCAGCATCCCATCGTCGAGTGTTGTGAGTAACCTTGGGCAGGCTCTTCCAGGTCTTGGCATAGCGAGCAACAGAGTTAGCAATGGCCTGGGTATTGACGAGGAAAGCCTCCTTGTTGAGGTTGTTGATATCGTCACCGATCTTGTGGTAGTTGATGTCGTAAGCGACGCCAGCCTCGCCGCCAAACTTCTTGGCCTCCTCCTCGGTCTTGAGCTGCTCGGCGCCGGTGAAGAGACCGCCGGAGGGAATGCCGTTCTCGATGAAGGCGGCGTAGTCGGAGCGGCCGCTGAACTCGGATGGGACGTAGCCGAGGCGCTTGGTCTTGAAGAAACGCTCAAAGTCCTTCTCGATGGCGTCGGAGCCAGCGGGGCCGGTGAGGTTGAAGGCGCTTCCATCACCGTCGTAAATACCGTAGACATAGTTAGGGCTGGCAATCTAGAAATTGTAAGTATTCAATTTTGTTAAAAGAGTGTTTTGGTCTTACCATATCGAAGTTGAGGTAGGCTCGGATCTTGGCGACTTCAGCGTCAGAACCGTTGATGCTCTTCATGTAAGCATATGAACCGAGAAGACCAAACTCCTCGGCACTCCAGAAACCGAAGCGGACGGCGTTCTTGACTCGGTACTTGGTAAGAGCCTGGGCAACCTTGAGGATACCAATGATACCAGAGCCATCATCGCTGGAGTTTGTTAGCATTGAATAATTTCAAAAGTGATAAGTGTAACTTACTTGATACCGGGACCGGCAGCAACAGAGTCAGAGTGGCCTCCAACGACGAGAACGTTGTCGTGGTCACCCTCCTTGGTCTCAGCAATGACGTTGAAGGTAACACGGTTCTCAACGGTAGCATCAACCTTGAGGTCAACAGTGACCTCACCAGCCTTGGTCTTGGCAAGGATAGCCTGACCATCTTCCTGGCTGATACCAACAATAGGAGCAAACTCGCCAAAGGGCTCGCCAAGAGTACCAGCCAACTCGCCAGGAACGTTGTTGTAGACAATGACAGCAGCAGCCCCGGCAGTCTTGCCATTGGCTGACTTTTGAGCGAAAGTGCACTCTCCTCGAAGAACGAGGACAACGTTACCCTCAGACTCAGCGGGGAAATCACCAGCCTCACAGCCAAGGTTCTCAGCAACGACAAGAGGACCACTAGCCTCACCAGCAGGGGTATAAGTCATGATGGCGGCAGTGATATCATCGCCGTCGACCTTGAGAGAGGCAGTGCCAGCAGAGTACAGCTCAGTGAAGGGCTGCTTCTTGACATTGTAGTAGTTGGTCGCCTTGAGGGTCTTGTAGAGCCAGTCGACAGTGGCGTTGTGACCAGCTCCACCAAAGACACGGGTGTTGCCGTTGGCCGTGGCGATGTCCTGGAGCTTCTGGGCACCCTCCATGAGGCCCTTGATGTTGATGTCCTTCTGGAGCTTGAGCTCGTTGACGAGGGGCTTCTTGGTGGCGTCGACCGCCAGGGCGAAGAGGGGGAGGGAGAGGGTTGTGAATCTCATCTTGGGCTGGACTGGACTGGACTGTGAGAAGAGGGATGAGGAGTGAGGAAGGGGATTTATGACGGTGGAAATAGTTGATATTTATATATTGCTGATCATACGGAATTAAGTTTTGCTGTAATCTACTCGTCACATACCCATACTATTTCGTGATAGTACAACCGTCCTGCACGGCACTTCTGCATAGCCCAACGGATAATGTTCCCACGAACCAATGACCCTCTCACGGCGGCGGGATCCAAATCAGGCAGTTCCAGGGATGTCTCTGGCGATCGAATCTTGGCGTCGTGTCTGCTTCCCCGCAGGAACTGCCTCTTCCAGGAACTAGCGCCGACTCGGATCCCACGTCGCCTGGAACTTTTGGAGTATTCGCCAATCCGACCTATGTTGATAACGGCAGGTCGCAGGGATTATCAACCCTTGGCCGAGCACAGAAGATAGGCCAATGGTCACGAGAGATAGAGTAGGGACTAGCGCTGTGATAGAGTTGGCGCTGGGCATTAAGCATCTTTCTACGCTTATTCGTCGTATCGACAGGGATCTGAGATAGAGAGACGGAGTTTATCAGCCACCACGAAATGACATGATGATCTTTTCTAGGCAAAAATGTCTCCATCCAAGCATTTCCCCTCTTTCTCGACCCTCGGCGGACTTTTGTAGTCATTCTTGGGAAAAAAGCCTGTTTGGTCAAGTCTTGGTACTCACCGGTTCTTTTGCGGGTCAGCGAGATAAGAAACCTTGTCGTCGATTGAGTTGTGCCACAGGCTAGTTCATTTCCGAGTTAGGAGTGTTTATCCGAGTGTGGCTGGGTTACAATGATGATCTGCACTGTTGTGAGATGAGGATTCACTTCACGATGCAGTGTTGCAGTGCGTTTGGAGGATGGATTAATGCGCTTTGAGGAATGATCTGCTGGGTTCGTTCAGGCAAGATGTAGTGTAACCCAGCCTTGTGAGGCGAATTGACTTTGTGGATGCAAACTTGCGGGATTGTGCACTAGATGGGAGAAGATCTCGCTGTACCCTGTAGTTGAACGTATATCAGAGCGTTCGAGGGTATCGAAGTTTACCGGCACGACGGGCGAAGTATCCGTAGTCATGTTTCATTGCAGAACCGTAGTGCAATGATCTGCCTGTCATCCAGACCTTCGGTGTGTCCTTATAGAGGTTGAGTTTCACTTTTCAAGCCTTGGCATCTAAGATAAAGGTACGAAGTGGTTTCTTCCAGTGTTCTCCGGCTATGGCAGTTGTTTCTGACACTTGTATACGTTGAAAGTTTGTCAAGGTAATGCCCGTGCTGCATTTTGAAGTTTGCCATATCTACCTTAATCACTTCAGAAGCAAAATTCAACAATACACACTTTTAGTTCTAAGATGTATTTCTTGAGGTATTACCTAGATCTTTCTAATCTTCTGGACTGTATTCCTCTTCTCTCCAATTCCTGATGTTCTTTCCTCCTTGTTCAGCCAGCATCTTTGGCAGTTCCTTCTTATACGGAAACAAGCTCAAAGGCTTCAACGCAAGGGCCAGGGCTGAGCAGCCGTCTTTTGTCAAAGCATTGATATCAACTCCGCGCTGCAGGAGATTGGGCATAAACTTGAGGTCTCGTCACTCATGGCGTGAATCATAGTTTTCCCATAGTTAGTCAAGGCCTTGACGTCGGCTCCTTTTTCGATTAGTAGTTCCGCTCCAGCCAGTTCCCCGTGTCCCAGAAACTGAAATAGTGCAGTTTTTCCCTTGACATCTCGCGCGTCGATGTGGACTCCGTGGTCAAGCAGTAGCTCAGCTACGTCTGCAGCAAGATACGGATATCTGAAATCTCTATCAAAACCGTTTTGGGTCTTGACATGGTGTAAAGCTGTGAATCCTTCTTTATCTTGGGTGTTGACATCACATCCATGATCTACCAGCAGAGAGACGAGGTCAAAAGTTGCACCGGTGACGTAGGGGCGGATTGCCAGGTGTAAGGGGACTATTCCTTTATTATCTTCACGTTAACATCGGCTCCATTTACGAGTAGTAACTCTGCGACTTTGACACTAGATCCAGAACAAGCGTTATGTAGAGCACTAGAGCCTCTCTCATCTCTGTCATTTACATCAAGGCCATTTCCGAGTAGAATCTTGATTGTTTCGATTGCTTCCGGGCCATATTGTCTGGCTACATGCAGAGCAGTCCTTTTGTCGTTGGTAAGGGCAAAAACATCGGCTCCGGATTGTAGTAGGATCCCTATCGCCCCTGGAGATGCAGCCTCCGCTGCTGTGTGGAGTGGTGTCCAGCCATCGGAATCTCTTGCATTTACATCAGCCCCAGCAGATACAAGGGCACTGATAACGTCTTTGCTAAGAGCAGAATGCAAAGGGGTACGACCGTTCCAGTCCTTCTGGTCGACCGTATGCCCGAGATTCAGTAACCTTTCCACAATGGTAATGCAGTAACTTTCAGCAGCTAGTTGAAGGGGAGTCGGGCCATATTCTTCAGAGCAGTCGTCGATTACTCCATGATCTAGGAGCATATGTGCTATGGAGTAGTCGCTTTCTTCGCCACGCATCAAAGCATCCTCGAATAGACTAACTCCTGATAACTTGATGGTAGACTTCGTATTGTTCTTGTAGTCCAGTAGCAATTTAACGATATGGCCATTCTGGTTACGTACTGCATCACGGAGTGTCTCACCCAAGTTTATGTCAATGCCTGCCTGAATAAACTGCTCAACTATGGTTGCATTTCCAATTGAAACTGCGACCTCGATAGGTGGAAGAACGTCCGACTCGTCTTCATCTATGTACTGCAAATAATTTTCCCCGGCTTCTTTCAGCAGAGACTGAAGGATGAGCCTATGATCTCCGAGCAAGATCTCATGCAAGTGAGACATAGTCTCCTCGAAGTAGGGACGGCGTTCTTCGCCTATTAGAACGGAAAAGTCCTGTAGGACCTGTTGATTCTGGACTTCAGATGCAGCCCGGAGGGTATCGTACTCATACTCCTGTATATGATCTTGATTCACCAAGGCATCAAGAAGAACTGTTAGAGCTCTCTGATGACAACCCGCCAGTGCCTTTACAAGGGCTTTCTTCTTGTATATAGGAAGTCCGTAGTTAACAAGCGGGAAGGGCTTAGTAAGTTCAGCTTCTTCACGGCCAGATATATCGTCGAGCACCATCTGCAGAATATTCTCTTTGCCCGACTTTGCTGCAAGAACAAGAGCATTGTCCTGGTAACGAATGGTCTCTATTTCCTTGGGATGCAAGTAAGAGCCATCGAGATACCATAGAAATTTGGTATCTACCTCCGCACCTTCAGAAAGTAGGAGGCTGACAATTTCAGCACGCCCAGCCTCACACGCTTTTGAGAGGGCCGCAGATTTGCAGCTGAAATTCGGTTTAGTATCTAGTAGCCGTTGAACAAGCTCAATTGTCCCATAAGAGGCTGCGCTTTCGAGTAAGTCAACATTAACACGCTTAACCCTGCAGGCCCTGTCACTAAGGAGTTCAACTATCGTGGTATGGCCATTCTCAAGAGCTAGTTTAACAGAATCTTGGAGTCCGATATATGCCCCAGCCTTGAGCAAATCTCTCACGATCTCCAGATGGCCATGTTCAGATGCAGCGCTCAAAGCAGCCTTGCAGCAGTCATCGTCCTCATGCCATTTGTTTACATTAGCTCCGGCTTGGATTAGACTTTTCACAAGCTTTCTGGGGCCCGCCTGCGACGCATTGATGATAGCTGGGCCATATAGAGGATGTAATGCATCGGGGCTAACGCCTTGTCTAATGAGTACTTCGGCCAGCTCCGGATGTTTGTTACGGATTGCCATAACTAAGTAGGCTTCTTTCTCGTCGTCCCGAGCCTTGAAGTGTGGGTTTCTCAACATGTATTTGACGGTTTCTTGCAGTCCACTCTTGCAAGCGTGATAGAACCCTAGATTCCCTTGGGGACAGGCATCTTTTGATAGGGTGTGATGATGTGTAGGAAATCTACGCCATTGTCTTCTTTCAGAACTCTCGCACCAGATAAAATTCACTGCAAATATCCGATAGCTTCTAGAGACATTCTCTGAGTCCAGCAAAAACTCGCCTATCATTTCAGCAATTTGCTTATTAGACTGTGCCCTCTTTCCAAAGCAAGGCCAGATGTCTATTGCACGAGCCGCTAGGGGGAATTCAGCACACATACGATAGAATGGGCCGCTGATATCGTTCAAGTAAGTGAGTGAGGCTTGGGAAATGGCATTCGCTGAGTTTAGAGGGCAGAAAGTGCTGCACTGTCTCAGATACTCCTTGACAGAAAAGTGAGTGAGGTGTACTTCTTCATACGTAATTTCCTCAAAGTCCTCCCATATGACCTCTACTATGGAGATCATACCAGGGCAATACTTTTCAGTATCGGAAACGTTGAATAGCCTGTTTTCAGGATCAAATCTGAGTCGATCTTGTTGAGGGGTTGAACGTATGGCTAGAACGTCGACAGCCTCAGGTGGGCTCAAAGGATGCTCACAACTCAATATGAAATGTAACAGGCGAAAGGAGTCATTTTTGTAATGATTAGGGATACGGTCCAGCATGAGATCGTAGGTCTCGCTCAGAGTAGGTGGTAAAGACACGAGAGCGTCATGGACATCACGTGGAGTTAGACAAGCTTCAAGAGTATCCATTTGACACGCTGCCCAACGAAACCTAAACACATTATTAGCATGTCCACACCAAGTTTATCTTTAATTACTCTGAAACATACATTCCGTCTGCTCCCTCCGCAACCTTGGCACAGATA